AGGACATTAGGTAAATCATCCATCTCTATCAAGAGTTTCATATGTACTTCAAAGTATCTAGGATGCCCGGTAGCGATATAAAGAAAGGAGATCTGCTGTTAGATAAGGGATGTGTTCTTGGATCAGCAGAAATTGGTATTCTAGCTGGAAGCGGCAAACGCTCTGTTCTGATGTATAGAAGGCCAAAAGTTTGCGTCCTTTCGACGGGAAATGAGGTGAATGAAACTACTGGCATCTAACCTTGTTAGGGTTTGTGTATATTGCGTACCTAACTCCACTTAATTCTGAAAAAAATGCTCTTTAACCTGTAATGCGTTTAGCTTGTCGAATGTTCGACCGAAGAAATCCCTTTGGGCCATATTCGTGACACTAATCGTCCGCAGCTGATTGCTTTATTCAGTTCTCACGGATTCAAAGCAATCGACGCAGGGATAGCTGTGGACAGGTATTATAAGAATTGAGTTATCCATGTCTGCTTTGAAGTTTTTTTTAGAAGAGACTGTCTTGTGGAAGCCATTCGTGTTTCCTTTCAATACGCTCATGTAATTGTCACTTCTGGTGGCGTAAGCATGGGTGAAAAGGATTTGCTGAAGGATGTGCTTGTGAATGATTTCGGTTTTGAGGTAAAGAAAATGTTTTCCATCAGATTATTGTGAAAATTATGCTTTTCAAAACCATTTTTTTACCACCTTACCCTCTAATTGCTATCTTCTAATATCCTTGTTCATACGCACTTTAAATTTCAACCCTAGCAATTGCACCATGCAACGCAAATACAATCAACAATTATTCTTAACAGTGTCAATTTCTCCTGTGGAAGAACATCCACAGTATTGCATTCCCAGTCTACTTCACACAATCATTTTCTTTTGAATGTTTGAACAGCTTGATCCTGTTGGTTTTAGATCCATTTTGGAAGAGTGTGGATGAAACCCGGACTTCCATCAACATATGCTACAGGTGAAATTGGTGGTGATAGGAAGTTTGTTTTAGCCCTACCAGGTCAGTCTTCTATTGATTTCTCATCGAATTCTTTATTACATGCACATCCAGGAAATCCGGTTTCGAGTTGGGTCACCGCTCAGTTGTTTGCAGTTCCGCTCTTGAAAAAGGCGGCCGGTTATGCAAAGATTTTTCAACATGAAATCAAAGTTAAGGTAAGAATGACTGAGTTAGGTTTACGATCATTTGATTTTGAATAATTTAGCTCGGTGAGGATGTTAGATTGGATGCTCGCCCTGAATATATGAGAGCTTGGCTGCAGTATGATGATATCCCTATAGCGATTACAACAGGGAGTCAGATTTCTTCCAGGTACATATAGAAAGCTAGCCGTGTCTATTCATACGCGTAAACTTATTTGGTCATTTAAACTAGTTTGGTCTTTTTTAGATTAATGAGTTTATCTGGGGCAAATGTTCTTCTAAAAATCCCCGCAAAATCAGACAACTGCACGAAGCTTCCAGCTGGTGAGATTGTCGACGCTCTTTGGCTTGCCCCTATGTAATGATCTTATATTTGTAACATTATCCTTTTAATCGTTTTCAGTTGCTTTCTTGGTAGTTTCACATGTTTCCAGTGTTCTTTTCTTCTCTAGTTATCTAGCATAATACGTTGCAAGTGACGTCTTTTTGGTATTGCCGTTTTTTTGAGTGCGTGTTTTTGTTTTGAGTTATATCTATGCTTAGAGCGCTTTGTCTTCCTTAGAATCTCTTTTGTTGTTTTGACCTTAGGAAGAAGAAACACCCAGTTTTTGACGGAACACGGTGATTTTGATGTCTCCGGTTAAAGGAAGGGTACACGCTAGGGGCGTGACTCTAACCTAATACAATGTTCAGAATTTTCATACAATCATAATAGCTGGAAGTTCAACATATGATGACCTTCGTTCAAGAATTTTATTCTGGTGATCAATGGTTCTAGGGCGTTATTTTATAATCTACTTGTACGCTTTTGTAATTTGTAATAATCACTTTATCTGCCAAATCTTGTCATCAGCTTATTAAGCAGTTTTCTTAAGCTCGATCATCTGCTTTTTCATAGTCAATTATTAACTTGATATGTTGAGCATACTTTGTGTTATCAGATAAGAACAATTTTTCAAGGCCTTGTACGTGATGTTCTTTCTAGTTTGTTCAAATGTGATTCCTTATCTTTCACAGCCATTTGTCGTATCTCCAACTCGGTGATTTTTCCAGTGCCTCTAAAGTTGTGATGAAATATAAAATCTCGACTTGGGTGTTCAATTAAAATTTATGTTCATTCATCTTGTACTTTATTTTATTGCTTGAGGTGTTCATTTTTGTCTCATTTTTCTCCTAATATCATGTAAACCAGTATGGCTACGGAGGCGTTGAACAAGGACATCGAGCGTGTGCAGGAGAAGTTGCGCGAGTTGGAAGGATCAATAGCGAATCTTAGACCAAGTCGGAGAGAGTACGAAGGGTGCGCTTATTATGTGAATCAATTCCTTTTCTTTGTATGCATGCTGTTCTTGTTTTAGTGGCGGTCCGGGTCTCAAACGTCGCATTTCACATGAAGGTTTTGCTAATGACCGTTATTCGAATGGGAGGTTAGCGCTTCAACTCAACTATTTTCCCATAATTTCTTTGTCTTTCTAATCTGCGTTTTTATTGAAGAACATCTGATTCTTTTTTATCTACCAATCAATCAAATGCCTTGTTTCATTTCAGTGGGCGTGTGACTGTGGTGAGCGATGCATCATCGATGGGCTTCAATAGACGTAGAATTGAGTAAGTTTATCAGCCGTTTCGATTTGTCATCAGCTTCAAGAACTGCAATGTCAAAAGAATACTTTTAACGACA